AAATTGTGGTGCTCTTTTCACTTATCCCTGTTGCTTGGTGCTGTGCACTCAGATCTATTTTGTCAGGCACATGGTCAAGCTTTCCCTCTGGTCCTGGTTACAGTGGCTTAAACCAATCCCATCGAAACTGCTTTCCCTTTTTTAATAGCTCTTGCAGACACATCCATCAATATTTCAGCCTCTACTTTTTTTCCCCTAGACCTTCTAAAGGCCAGGGCCATGCATTACGTGGGATTATTTATGGATCTAATGTCAGTAACAGCCTGTTAATATCTGTGCCACTTTTCTGAAGATTGCTTTAAAGTGATCCGGGGGCCAGGGCAATTGCTGGCAACCCGACAGCCAGCCCTGCTCTTTTCCCCAGGCCTCCCATTTCCTCGGCACCAGAGGAAGATTAGAAGCAACCAGCAATGCTGTACTCGGGAAGTTATCAATAAACTGATGATTAATGACTGGCACTTCTCAACCCCTGGTAAATAACACTAAGTAGCTGATGGCTGAGGTTCCCATTTACTGGTGAGATCTGCCAGTGGCAAGGGCCAGCACAGGAAGAGCCATTCGTTGTGTGGCACTGGAGGACCGTTGGGTGGTAGACAAGGAGTAAGGTCTGAATTCTTAGGGTCTGTCAGCTAAGAAATCTTCAATATTTCCATGAGTTTTCACAGCTTTGCGCATCAGTGGACTCAACCTGCAGCCTTTTATTCACCTCTTTGTTAGGATGGTAATGATTTATGCTAGGAGGCTATGAAAGATCTACTGGCCAAGGAAGCAAAAGGGGAAGAAAATTCTTAATTTCAAGTTACAAATGACATTTATTATTCTTTTAAATAAGGGCTGGTAGGACAACGTTTTGCTTTCTGGTCAGTAAAACCTCGAATCAATTAGGACTGCCTCTTGCTGGGTAGAGCTTAAAGCATGTCCTGCCTGTGGTGTCACGTTTGAAGGGTTGGCTTTAGCCTATTTATTAGTTGCCTGGTGCCTCTGTGTCTGAAAATCTGAACGTGCTCCAACCTCCCCCCCCTTCCTGGCTGATGGCGTCCTTGTTAATGTCTCCTGAATCTATAGCCCAAGGTCAGAGGATGCAGTAAAATCAGAATTGATTCGTTCGAGGTGATAGCAGTCATCCGATAGCAAGTGAGAAAAACTTCTTTTCCATGCCCTATTGCCCTCTAATGGCCAGTGTGGAATTTGCACAGCAAAGTGGACAATTCAGAGGGCCAGGCAAGAATTCCTGAGGAAACTGGTCTGTTGTGATGGAGCTTATTTTCAAGAACCCCCCCAAAATGGTTCACAGTGAAGATTGGTTTGGGGGTGCAAAGAGTAAAGGGTTTGCTCGCTCGCGGTAACACCATCCCTCACAGGAGGGAGGGAAGACAGGGTGGTAAATGTAGAGATTAAAAAGAAACGGGAAAAAAAGACATTTTGGTTTTCCTATGGAGTAAGGAGAGATGGAGGAGGGGAGTACTCACTCATACTAGAAAAAAAAACCCACCCCAAAACCAGTGGTGAACTGCTTTGGTTTTGGGCTGGGAGCAAGACAGGGGTCCGGCACATGGCTCCTGCGTAGCAAACACAAATTCAATGTTCATTTGCTGGTGGCGATGGCACTGTGCCAAAATCCCTTCTGGGTCTTACTGTGTGATGCCACAGGTGGGCTTGCTGCTCCGCTGAACCGTGCGTGGGGCAAGTCCTGCTGAGCAAGGGACCCTGAACCAGGAATAAGGGAGCAGCTGGACCCGGATCAAACTATTGCAATTCAGCGAAAAGCGTGAGACTGGAGGGCAATGCCTCTGATGATGGACTAGCCTTCGGGGGCTACCTACTGCGGGCTCTTGGCAATTGGAGTGCTGAAGAGGTCTTCAGCTTTCTTGGGTTCACTTTCCTCTTGCAGTAGAGGCTTTTTAACAGTAGATGTCACGTTTGCATAAGGGAACAACAGATGGTACCCCCGGGTGAGCCCTTTTGGGCAAGGCCTGGCTGGAACCGCAGAAGGTGTGCTCCATCGCGGGGGATGCTATGTCCTATGGATGCTGGGGCCAAGAAAAGCTGTAAATCATAAAGTGTGTGCTCTTACATATTTTTCTTAGGTTTCTACTGCAAGTAGATGGATGCTTGGTCTCAGTGCGGCGTGCGCGCTCTGCTTGGGTGCTGGGGTGCAGGCTTTGCTTAAAGCGTTCAGGTATGAAGGAGGTCTGAGCCCGCATGGGTCAGGCAGATTTGCTGCAGGAGAAAGGAAGCCCAAGCTCCATGGTTTGGGAGTTGAGTTGTAGAAAGGTAATTAAGAAAAAGCAAGTCTCTAGACTTCAGTTTGCTTCAAATCTCTATATCCTTGCAAAAGGATATAGAGATTTGAGTGCTCTTGAGTGCTCACAGAGTGGAAGAGGTTAGAAACCATGAAGAAATAGATTTTAAGGCAGCAGAAAAGTTGTGATGTGATATCTTGTCAACACTTAATATAAATTTAATTCACCTTTACTGGCTAACTTAGCAGCGTTTGGCAATACCTGTGAATGATCTTTTTGGTCCCAATTGGGAGTTTCAGGGATTTGTTAGGAGGATTCCACTTTGCACTATTGTCGTGTGTTTCTTGTGCAAATGATGACCTTTAAAAACCAAAACAACCACCTCCAGTTTAGGTAGAATACTTTAATACAGAAATCTTTGTAAATACATTAATTACAGTACATAAAAAAATAAGTTCTGAATCTTTACACCGTAGTCAAATACAGACAGATTAAAATCCATATCTGACTGTGCTGGGTTTGGACCCCGGGCTGTTTTCCTTACTGCTGAGCAGGGCTCACAGAGAGCCAAGGCCTTTTCTGCTTACCAGCGAGAGGCTGGGGGGGCACAAGGAGCTGCAGGGGGGGACACAGCCGGGACAGCTGACCCCGACTGACCCTAGGGGTGTCCCACACCGTATGACATCACGCTTAGCACATAGAGCTGGGGAGCTGCTGCTCGGGGACGGGCTGGGCGCATCGGTCAGTGGGTGCTGAGCCATCGCATCGTGCGTCACTTGCTTTGTACATTCTTCTATTATTATTATTATTATTATTACTACTACTATTATTACTATTTGCTTTTATTTCAATTATTAAACTGTTCTTATCTCAACCCACGAGTTTTCTCACTTTTACCCTTCCACTTCTCTCCCCCATCCCACCAGGGGGGGAGTGAGTGAGCAGCTACATGGTCCTCAGTCGCCGGCTTGGGTTAAACCATGACACCAACTAAAATAAAGCAGCAGTTACCCAAAGTGGAAGAAAGCTGTGCTCTTCCAATAAAATCTCTCTCAAACCAAAAAACCCACCTCACTCCAGAAACTGAAGACTGTAGTTTCATCGCATCTGTGTTTTGCAGAGCATGCAGCACTTGATTGGCAACCTCAGAGCGAGCTGAGCTCAAGGGAAGAAATTGGGGTTTTTTTAAATGCATTTCTGTATCGGAGAAGATGGGGCTGCAGTAACGGTCCCTGTAAAGAACGGGGCTCTGCATTTGAAAGGTAACTGTACAGTTCTGTGTTTGGTATCCAAACAGGATTACGTGGGTCGGGGCTTCAGCAGGTGTGAGCTGGTTTGTTGTCCTGGTTTTGTGAACATTTGAGAAGTTGAGTAGGAGGTTTCAGGCCCTCTGAGCATTGGGCTTTATTAAAAGTCCTAACAGGCCCTGGTCAGAACCAAGAGCCGGTAAAGGTTGGTATGCACGGTGCTGGGCCAGGGCCCCAGGTCTTGTTTTGGTAGTTTGGCTGCCATGCGGTCTTCTCTGGCAAAGCCACTATGCCCAAGGGCTGGAAACTGCCTTCCTGAGCCACAGTGTAATCGATTTGGACCTGTGTTCTCATTTTGATCCTGATCCAAACCCAAGTCCAGTTCAAACTGGAACATCTATAAAATCTTGAGTACTTTGGGTTCAGGGCAATTTTGTTCCTCTCTCTCTTTTTTTCTTCTTTTTTTTTCTTTTCTTTTTTTTTTCCCCCCAGTAGAATTTTTGTTCCTTGAAAAACACTTCTGTGCGCTTTAACTTAAAAATATTGATGCCAACCACATGAACGGTATCAGTGCCAACGGTAACAATAGCATCAGCGCCAGCACCCTCGCAGTATTATCAACATCCATGCCAACAGTATCATGCAGACCTGTGCCAGCAGGCCAATAGTGTCAACAGTGCTGATGCCAACAGGCCAGAAGGAATGAAGAACCCCTCAGTAGTAAACCGGTGTGCGAAGCCTCACGCTGCGACGCTGTCCCACAATAACAAACCCCGGAGCCCAGCCTAGTTCTCATTAGCAACTTTACAATAACACACCCCGGTGCAAGAGCAATTAAACTAAAACACCAAGGTGTGTATATCCTGGAAGGAAGAAATACTCAGATATTTCTGGAGCTGAGGGGCAAATGAAATAAATGATTAAGGGCTTTGTTGACTGCGCTTTTCCAAGTTTTTTTGTCCAAGTGCAATGGTGGCAGCTGGAGCTCTTAAACTGGCACAGCCTGAGCTCTGGGAGCACTTGCAAGCAGCAAGTGGTTTGACTCCTGCGCGCTTTGCTTTTGAGCCTATCTCCAGCTGTACCTACTCAACAGAGGGACCTTCTTTAGCAGGTAATCTAAGGATTGAGGTGAGATTCTGATCCGAAAGGATCTTTCCAGAATCAATGCATTTCCAGTGCGTAATCTTATCATTCCAAGGCTAGTTCAGGCCTTGAGGACACAAACTTTTCTCCAGAGGGCAGGAAGGCTTTTTCTTTTTCCAGACCTTGGTGTTTTCCAGACCTTGGAACTTGCACATGAAGGAGAAGGTCTGGTCTGTTGCTGAATAGAGGGCTGGCAAAGATCCAGAAATGTAGGAAAAAGTGTACAATTTACCAACATACAGTAGCCATCCTTTCCCTGATCTTCCCAGGTCCATACCCAGAAACGCAGTGTAGATGCAGGACATCCCAGTGCAGCCACATCTTGCGGTGGTGGCCCTAGGAGTTAGGATGTGTTGAGCAGCTTTCATAACTTACTCCCAGTCTACACCTCAGCACAAGTAGCGACTCTGCTTTGTTTCCTTTTGGACGGTAGCCTGAGGTCATCACCAAAGAGTTCCTTGCTCTTTGAAAACCAAACTTTTTCTTTCAAAGCAGCTGTCAATCAGTTGTTCTTTTTTTAAAGAGAACAGGAAGACTATCTTGGTTGCCATTGCCAAAAGAAGAGGAATCAAGGGACAAAGAAGTTGTCCCTGAAAATTTCAGGTATCTTGATCAGCCCTGCTTCAGAAGCTTCACACTCTGGGATTAACTGGAGGTTTTAAAGCCTGGGTGGAAAAGAAAGAGTTAAACAAATCACAGTGTGCCGGGTGCCGTTTCAATGAATTACATCCTGAAAGAATTGCTGTTCACATCAGAGCTCCGGTTACCTTTGGAGGTGGAGGTGGAGGTTTGCCTTTGGGCACTGGGAGCAGGGCAGGTTTTCTCTCTGGTGCCTATAACAAAAATGTAGTTTAAATGTCATGAAGCTTTCCTGTCTGAGCGGCTTCATTTATTAGAGCAGTTTCCTAGTGGAAAAGCGAGGGGGTGTGTGTGAATGAGATTCATCTGTCCACATACAAGAAAGCACAATCATATAAATATGTGAGGGGTATAGAACTCCTGTTTCAGAAGACCATTGAACTATTCTCAGTGTGTAAATTCATCTGTAGCTCAAGTATCCATGCTTAAACAGACTGCTTAGGAAGCTAAAGCTGACCACATGCTCAAGGGGCGCGTTGAGGAAAGCATCTCTGAAGACAGGAGGATTTAAATGTCATTTTATAATCAAGATGATATGTGGCGGGGTTTAATTTTATTTTATTTTATTTTTTGGTCCTGATTCGTCATTCTTTATGCAGGCAGTACCATGCAATTAAGTTGCTAGCGTGAAGATGGTTTCTACACCCTTGTATCAGGTGGGCAGGGGGCTCAAATGCTGAGATGGTAAATATTTGAGGGAGGCATTTTCATTTAAGGATCCTTTGGGTTTATTAAGGGCAAATATTCGTATTCCTCTGGTTTCCATATTTTTTTTAAGAATTATATATATACAGAGAGAGAGAGATGCACGTTGATGGAGATCCCTGACAGGTGGCATCTTTAGAGACTACCAGATCTCCGCGATACAGGGACCATTGCAGATGTCTGTAGTAGCAAAGATGCTCATCATTTGCACTGTGCTTACACCTGTGATCCCTGTTGGTTTGGACTCCATGCACTATTGCAATGCGAGGTGCTTGTGATGGCGTATAGGATTCCTTGGCACAGATTAAGACTATTTTGTTGAGTTTAGGATTACATGGCAAAAAAGGTGACTCCCACCATAAAGAATATGTGGTTTGAATGTCTGTGATTTTTTTTTTTTTTTAATCATACTCAGGAGCTGAAAATACTAATTGGCAACTCGGATGTGAAAAGTTGCAGGGTTATACTTACAAAAATCTCTACTGTGTGAGAAGGGGTCGGTTTGGTAGCAGGAACAGGAGGTGGGGGACCTTTTGGCCTTATGACAGGCTGTAAAAGAAAAGAATATAAATCATATTGACCCTATGTATGTATTGCGTATGTGTGCGTCCACATGTTCCCATGGGAACGTGCAGGCTTGTGTTCTACATAAAAAGTCCATTAATAGGGGGAAAAGGATGCATTCATCTGAAAACAGGGAACAGTTGAATTGGATGGGAGCCCTTATCCTGTGGATTTTCTTTGCATGCCGCTAACAAGCTGCAGACAGATTACTCGGGAACTTTGTGCCATGTGCTTTCTCCGCTCCCTCCTCACGCTGGGATTCACAGCACTGTCCTCTCAGTCCTAGACAAGCATTTTGAAGCCCTCCTGGAAATGTAGAGCACTTTGGCTGATGAATTTTGGTGTTTCCACCCCTCAATTACAGTCCTAGGGAGACTGTAGCCTACCCAGCGCCTCCCCGCTCTTACCTTCTGGGCAGGTGCCACCAGGACAGGGTGTTCTCCGTGTTCCTGATCCACAAAGACGTGGTTTGTGGCTCCACGTCCCCTCCTGTTCTGGTAGCTATAGAGATATTACATATAAGTGTAAATCTTAGGCTGGCTGAAGTGAACAAACCCTGCTGAAGTTGAATGCCTGCCTTACTCCTATTGGTGTGTTATATAGCCGTGTCCTTCCTTTCTTTCTTTCTCCCCCTTGTTTAATTATTTAGGATTAATCTTTGAGAGCTACAGCATCAAGTCTTCCGTCCTCTCCCAACTATGGGATTTATGAAACAGCTCAACAAACTTCATGGACCAAACTTCCTTGGCTTTCCAGTGTCTAATTCCCTCCACCCCCTTTGAAAATCCCAGCTTAAAACCTATCGGGAAGTTGCTTGGCTTTAGGGGTTTTTTTCCTCAATGGGGGTAAGCATTTTACCTCTTCTTGAATACTCGGAAGCGAATAAGTAACACTGCTGCAGTTGCTGCGACAGCGAGGACAACCAGCACGCCAGCAATGATGGCGAAGCCTGTCAGGGTGAGAGAACACAAGTTACTGTTTCCTAAAAGATCCGCTGTTATGAAGCCATTTCCCATCACGACCATTGGCAAGGGAATTTTTTTCTCGAGGTCTAGACCCTGTTTGTCCTCATTATTGCTCAAGCTTATGGCTGCCTCACAAATGATGATGGAAAGGAATGTATTCCTGCCATTTTTGCCATATCTGAAGATTCTGGTTATTGCTTGAGATGCCCTTGGGCTAAACTAAACCTAGCCCTTTCCGTCCATCCTCAAAGATCATTTCACTGTCATCCCTCTCTTCTTTCTCAAAGGATGTTACCCCAAACTGTCCTGGTTTCCACTGGGATAGAGTTAATTTTCTCCCTAGTAGCTGGCATAGTGCTGTGGTTTGGATTTAGTACGAGAAGAATGTTGGTAACACCCTGATGGTTTAGTTGTTGCTAAGTGGTGCTTACACTGGTCAAGGACATTTCAGCTTCTCATGCTTTACCGACTGAGAAGGCTGGAGATGCACAAGAAGCTGAGGGGAGCATAGCCGGGACCCAAACTGGCCAAAGGGGTATTTCTGTACCATATGACGTCATGTGCAATATAGAAACTGGGGGGAAACTGGCCAGGGAGCCGCTGCTTGGGGATGGGCTGGGCTGCAGTTGGCAGGTGGTGAGCAATTATATCATACAGAACACTGGCTCGGCATCAGTCAGCAGGTGGTGAGCAATTGCACTGTGCATCACTTATTTTGTATATTCTTTTATCATTTTTATTATTATCATCCCTTCATTTTCTGTCCTATTAAACTGTCTTTATCTTAACCCATGAATTTTACTTCCCCCCCCGCCCCGATTCTCTCCCCCATCTCCCCCATCCATCCCACTGGGGGGCCAGGGGCAGTGAGCGAGCGGCTGCGTGGTGTTCGGCTGCCTGCCGGCTTAAACCACAACAGCACTGTATACAGCTAAGGCTTCACAATTTTCCTTCAACAAAACTATTTGAAAGCCACAGTGTTGAGCTCTAGTGAGTGCGGAGAGAGGACAAAAATATTTAATAAGAGAAGCTTAAAATTTTTTTCTCCCAAACACGTGGAAATCAGTACACAAAGTACTTTCCCTCCGAGGTAGATCAGTTAAAGGCCAGCTCCATGCAGGAGATAAAGAAATGAACTTGCCCACCTCCCTCCCAGGGAAATCCCTGGGAGCTTGCCTCCACTCAAATGTGACAGGGAGCTGATGTGGTGTGCTCGTTATCTTAGGATGGAGAAAGGAAAAGCCTACAGCTCTAAATAATCTCCTGGGTGTATCGCTTCTGTCAGGCCAGAAAGAAAAACAGCTTTTTCTAGTCATTCATACAAGCCACAGTGACTTATAGATGCGGGGAAATCAGAGCCCCAACTGTGCAATATTTGCAAAGGACCAGCCTGGCACCCAGGGCAAGTCAGGGCTGTTGCCGTGGCCTTCAGGCAGCTCATTTCAGCCAGTGGATGGTGGTGCCCAGTGCGTGGCCCTACAGCACTTACTGGAAACCGCTGAGGAGCCGCCGCAGGTTGGTGGTGCCCATCCTTCTTCACACTGGCACTGCAGCTCGTGGTCACACACCTAAGGAAGCACAAAGCCAGGAATATCTTCAGGTTGGAAACGTGAGCGAAGCTGTCGTGTCATAAAAGTTCAGTGGCTCTGGATCAGGGTCCTGAGAAGCTTATTGAAGCTGGGTCTGGAACCCCCCCCTCATTTCACTTGGACCAAAATTTAGCACAGAGAGCAGCAGTTTTGTACAGGACTGGCCCGACTGCCTGCTACGTGTGCCTTTTGCTGGGGTTTCTGCAGTGAAAGCTACAGTGCAAGGCACAAGGCAGCAGAGCTGGTCTTTACGTCTGTAGGTCCCTGAATGGTCAAATAAGATGAGCGCAATTATCTTCCCAAAACAGAAGATGACCTGAAAGCAAATAGCTGTGGTCCTGTGGCTCAGAGGCAGGGCCAGGCACAGAACCTTTGTCCACAAAAATGATCCGGGGGCTGGAGCACCTCTCCTATGAGGCCAGGCTGAGGGAGTTGGGCTGGTTCAGCCTGGAGAAGAGAAGGCTGCGGGGAGACCTGATTGCAGCCTTTCAATACCTAAAGGGGGCCTATAGGAAAGACTGGGAAAATCTTTTTAGTAGGGCCAGCAGTGACAAGACAAGGGGTAATGGTTTTAAACTAAACCAGGGTAGGTTTAGACTAGATATAAGGAAGAAGTTCTTTACAATGAGGGTGGTGAAACACTGGAACAGGTTGCCCAGAGAGGGGGTGGAGGCCCCATCCCTGGGAACATTCAAGACCAGGTTGGACGGGGCTGTGAGCAACCTGATCTAGTTAGCGGTGTCCCTGCTCCTGCAGGGGGGTTGGACTAGATGACCTCTAGGGGTCCCTTCCAACCCAAAACATTCTATGATTCTATGATTCTATGATCTCCTGTGATCTTAGCAAAACTATTGATGCTGTGTCAGGTTGGATTTGCTTTCATACAAATGTAGGAAGCTTCTAACTCCACAACTTTTGCACCTGCCTACCCTGATGACTTAAATACTGTCACCACTGAGGTCTGTAGCTGATACGCGTAATTTCCTTGGGGTTTTTTAAAGTTAATAGCATCAAATGCTCATATCTTACAGCATGTCCAGTACACTTGGCAGAGCAGTTGGTTGATCTAAAGACATCTTCAGCATAAACACATTCTCCCTTGCTGCACACCTGCAATGTACAGGGCGAACATTACCAAAGTGATTTACAGCTTTCAGAACACGCAGAGCTTGCACATAATTGTGTAAAGTGATGAAGAGTAAGAGGAGGCACAGAAACGGGTCTGCAAATCACTTAAACCTATATTAGGAGTTTGATATGTGGGTATAATTTTTCATTCAACCTTTGGGTATTTTATAGCCAGGAGGAGCGACAAAGATGTACAGACATCACTGCTTTCTGTTCCTCTTCAAGCCTTCATCCTCCCCGCCTCCCCCAGGTAGAAATATAGAGCAAAGAAATTAGACCTAGCATTCGGTGATGCCTAATACATCCATTATGGAAATAATTAAAGATAGTAATATGTGTAGGATCTTTTAACCCTTTGTACAAAGGTATTGTTTCTGCTGCCACGTATATTTGTGTCACTGAAAAATAAGACGACCGCAGTCGAGCATAAGGAAATTGGAACGATCGCAGTTCCTGTTTGCTTTGCTCTGTTGACTTGCGGTAGATATAAGGCAGAACGTATGGCAAATCACATCAGCAGAAGTCTAGCATGCAGTCACCCCTGTTTAAAATCTTTCTTGTCTGGTAAAAGAGCTAATGATATAAGCAAGACTGAAAGAGCAGGACAAATGAGAAAAGCTTCTCTCTACTCACCATCCCATTCCCGCACTTCGTTCCATCGAGAATCATCCCTGGATCTACTTCTCCATTTCCAGGAAAACTTGCTTTGCAGGAGTCAAATGTCACCAGGCTCCCATCCCGAGGCATCTCGTTCCCCCCCTTACAGAACAACTTCCCGCACATTATATCTCTGGAAGGAGAACAGGAGCTGCTAGAACACCGACATGGCACAGCAAAACTATCTGAGCTGGTTTTTCCTCCAGCTTGAATTTGTTGTGTCCATACAGGAACTCAAAAGAAATAGCAGAAGGGGAATTATGATTTGTGGTGTTTTCAGGTTGGTTTGTGAGTAGAAGGTGGCAGGTTCTTAATTCCTCTTTAGCTTATTAGGGAGCCCACGGTAATTTGCGGAAATGAGTATTTAACTGACCTGTCTTCAACTTTGGAGGTTCACGTGAGGTTCAAGTTCCCCGTCCAAAAATCCCTTCCCTGTACTTACCCGCACACGTGGGCACACGCATGCAGTCATGTTCACAAGCAGGCTTGCACATATACATATATATACATATATGTGTGCACACTTGCTCTTTCTCAGACTGATCTTGTGATTTGGAAACTAGTTTTCTCAGCATTTTCTATACTAAAATATACAAACTGAATAAAAAGAAGGGACACGTGGACAATCATGCCACCTAAAATAGAGCACTCTTTGCTTCTGTCTTGTTATCTGAATAGGGACGGTCTCTCTTCCCAAATCCCAGCAAATTCTGTAACACAGTGCTTACTTTTTTTTACACGGGACGTGACTACCTTTTTCTTTTCTGCAGTATCCATAATATACCCCTTTCTCGTTCATCCGGTAACAGGAAGCTGCACCTTCAGTAGCCTCTGAAAGAGGAAAATACGATGGGATTGGTTTCGGTTCGCTGCCTGTGAGAACTACGCGTACTCCATTTCCTTTACCTGTTTAGGAAACGGCCTTTCCCAGTGAAGTTACCCATGGGCCTAAATAACTGACCCTGGCACCCCATCCGTGAGTTTGAATCATAGAATCATGGAATGGTTTGGGTGGGAAGGGACCCCTAGAGGTCCCCCAGCCCAACCCCCCTGCAGGGACACCTTGAACCACATCAGGTTGCTCACAGCCCCGTCCAACCTGGTCTTGTGTACACACAGCAGAATCTACCCTGGGTGTTCTCCCTCCATCCAGTACAAACCAATAGACCTTGCCTAAGAGAAGGGACATAGAACCGGAGATGGTTTAGGATTGGGAAGAGGGTAAGCCACCACGCACCTTTAGAAACATAAAGGCGTGCTATATTTGGACATTCATTTGAAATACAGATGTTTCCTCTTCCTGTCAAGCAAAGAATACTCATCTAGCTCTCTTCCGAAGTTGTCTTAAAAGCATTGTGCAAAAGAGGAGTACGCTTACCACTTCCCATTTCTCTAGAAAAACTTTGCACGCTCTGAGCTTCAGCTCGCGTGATTATAATCACTTCAAGTGTTAAATAATAAAGTGTATGCTAGGAACTAGAAGTCATTTATATAGACACGCCGCTCCTGATTTACAAGGTTTGTAAATGACCATGTGCTAGCAGTCAAAGCCTACCCCCTGCTCTATCCTTTGACTGAGGCAACTCGATTTTTTTCAATGCTAATGTGTACTCACCTGGTCCGAAAGCAGCTTTGCACTGGTTTTCTCGGGTGGGACAGTTCCCCATGTAGCAATAGCCTTTGCCGTAGTTGCAGGGGTGTCCGTTCACACGGAATCGATCCGCTGGGCAATTTGCGGAAAAGCCGGTGCACATCTCGGCCAGGTCGCAGTCGTGCTTAACTGCTCGGCAAACGGCTCCTGATTTTTTGTACTGAAGTGGGGGGGAAGCAAAGCCACGGTTAACACACCGCTCCTCCATGCTGGTTGAAAATCACACTGAACTGGAGGGCTAAAAACTCAGGGAGACAAATCTCCTCCTCGCTGTACAAATTGCACGAGGGGCCAGATCCGTATCTAACGTAGAGTTGGTTATGACACTTGACAAGATTTTTGTCTGGTTGTGCCTCAGCTTTTCTTTCCATGAAAGTGGGTAACTGGAACGCTCCTTTCCCCAGGATGCTGAAAGACTGAGTGACTTGATAGTTGTGGCATAACTTGAGATAGAATCACAGAATCATAGTTTTGGGTTGGAAGGGACCCCTAGAGGTCATCTAGTCCAACCCCCCTGCAGGAGCAGGGACACCGCTAACTAGATCAGGTTGCTCACAGCCCCGTCCAACCTGGCCTTGAATGCTTCCAGGGATGGGGCCTCCACCCCCTCTCTGGGCAACCTGTTCCAGTGTTTCACCACCCTCATTGTAAAGAACTTCTTCCTTATATCTAGTCTAAACCTACCCTGGTTTAGTTTAAAACCATTACCCCTTGTCCTGTCACAGCTGGCCCTACTAAAAAGATTTTCCCCATCTTTCCTATAGGCCCCCTTTAGGTATTGAGAGGCCGCAATCAGGTCTCCCCGCAGCCTTTTCTTCTCCAGGCTGAACAAGCCCAACTCCCTCAGCCTGTCCTCATAGGAGAGGTGCTCCAGCCCTCGGATCATTTTTGTGGCCCTCAATGGAGGAAGTGCCCTTGTCATTACATGCTATGTCAGTAATCATAGAATCATAGAAGTATAGAATCGTAGTATCACTTTGGTTGGAAAACCCCTTTAAGATCATCGAGTCCAACCTTTAAGCTACCCCTGCCATCCCACCACTAAACCCTGTCCCATAGCACCTCATCTCTTCTTCTTTTAAATCCCCCCAGGGGTGGGGACTCGACCACCTCCCTGGGCAGCCCCTTCCAGAGCCTGACAGCCCTTTGGGGAAGAAGTTTTTCCTAATGTCTAGCCTAAACCTGCCCTGGCGCAACTTCAAACCATTCCCCCTCATCCTATCATCTGTTCCCAGGGACAAGTAGAGAGGACTGGTTCTTTTGAAAGGTGTATTGCTGGAAAGGTGTATTACTCCTCTCTCATGGCCAAAAAAAAAATATATCTGGGAAAATAGGAGAAGCTTGAGACCAAAAGGAGGCTTACTTGGCAGTTTTCACAGCACTCTCCCTGTGCGCATATGGAACCTGCCGTCAGCTTGCACGTCTCGGGGTCGCAGCAGTCGTTTGTGCACTCCTGGGACAAAATTGGCAATCAGAGCTCGGGGACGCTGCCTCAGCGTTCGGTCCCCTCTGCACCGCGCTCTCAGCGAACCCCCTTCTACTCGGTTATCGAGGGAGGGAAGGGTGTCCTGGACCTGCGCTTGGCTTCTTGGGAAACCGTTTTCCCTAGAAGCCGTGCCAGCCATGGTGAGGGAGCGCCGAACGAATACAAAGCGGTTTTGGTTATGCAAGTGCTGCTAGGAGTCGTGTGGGGAAGCAGCTGGCTTCTGCCGGGATGGTTCTGTACGTCTGGCTTTTCACCATTCTCAGTTCCTCTGTCAGCACAGCGTGACAAACCATGCCGTCATCTGTCCCACCATTTGGCATACGTTTTATAGGGCTGGCTACGTTGCAGATCAGCAATTTCATGACCACAGTTTCTACAGAAATACTTCAGCTAGCTTTGAACTGGCCACCTCAGAAGCTAACAGAAACCAGCTACTGTACAGCCTGAATAAAACTCTCTGCCTCTTCTAAGAATTATTTTATTCCCGGTTATGCAGATACCTCTGGAGTACCACAGTCGCATTCCTCTCCCTTTTCCACAAAGCCGTTTCCGCAGGATGGAGGTGCTACGATGCTGTTCAGGTCTGGCATGTCTGTTAAGCATTTTGGCATGTCACTCAACATGTATTTCTCGAAACTTTGGAGGCTGCAAGAGCTGAATTTCTTGGGGACGATAGAACTGTATTGAGAAAGGAAGAGGATTTGTGTTAGGATCGCATAGGCGAGGAGAAGCAATATCCCTTCATGAGAGAAATGAAGCAAGTGAACGTCCCCCTAACTACCGGGTGCAACCATTTTTCCAAATTCATGTATTAGTAAATACAATGGCTATCTCCTTATAGCAGAAAAATACCAGGAAAAAAAAAAAGGAAGCAGAAGCAAACAGATCAGAAAAAAATAATATGCTAGATGTAAACACTGCGTGTCATAAATCCCACGTCTCAAAGATTTAAGCCTGGTCTACACAATTTGTGCCTGGATGCTCCAGGCATTAGGAGTTTTCCACTGGGCTGTTCAGCAGAGGCTCAGGGTGTTCAAGGAGAGATGAAAATTGGACTAAATTCCTATCTAATGGGTGTTTAGTGAAGGTGCAGGCACTTTGTGGGGTTTTCAGAGGAGGCATCTTCAGGGTCGAGAACAGAAATAAACTTTAGGTAAATCTTGCACAAGTTCTGTCATCTGAGATACCGCAGCATTTCCACGCTGCTTCATCATAAGGAAGAACTGATTTATGATTTCATGCGGAGGCCCCACCACACATGCAAAGCTACTGTTATCCAAAAGTGATAAAAGTGGGGTTTGGTTTGGTTTTTGAGGGGTGGGGGAAGAGATCCATCTTGGAATATCTTACAAGGGCCTGGAATTTCTTCATTTTTTCTCTTCTTTTTGTATAATTTGAGTGGAATCTCAGAGAACAAAAATAGTTACCAGTCCATTTTGGAAGCTGGCAGCTTATTCAAAGCCCATCCTTAACTGCCCCGTGCATGAACACCCGCGCCTTTTATCCAAACTCCTACCTGACGGTATCGGTCATGATACAAACTTTAGCGCTACATGCGCAGGCGTTGGTGTCGTGATTCATGCCGAGGTTGTGTCCCATCTCGTGTGCCATGGTCGCCGCAACTGCAATTTCGTTTATGTTATGATCCTGTAGAGGTAAGAACGGGCTGTTATTCCTATGAGTATTTTAGAACAGTGGGAACATCAGAGAAGCCATGTGGCGAAGAGATAGGACCATTTTTCTTCAAGTGAAATTATCCTCACTGCTACATAAAGATCGATCCCTGCATGCATCTATGCCACAGTTTATGCTGGATCATATTATAATAGCAATGAGGTGCTGCTGCTAATGAACATGAGTAAATTGGTATAATTAGGTTTTAAATAAACACAAGGAAGTTAGGCTGCCAAGTAACAACTGAGCGTAAGGGGAACTGAACATCTGAAACCCTTAATCCCCTCTCTGGATAGCGCTCTCTGTGCTTAGGATAATTACGCGGGTGCGATATAATTATTACTCATTACCCCAAGGTAACTATTGTGTGCGGCGCTGTGTGTACACAGAGAGGAAAGGCAGATGCTGTGCTCCATCTTCGCTCCTAGCTTGGTGGTTTGTGCTGCTTGGTGGGAGGGAGGAAAGGAAAAGTCCTGCTCTTTTGAGTGAAATCCAGATTTATAAGCAGCAGGTGGTAGTGGAAACGCATAAAGCACGAGACATGAGGTTATACCCTTCTAGCACGGCATCCCCCTGCAGCTTGAAAAGCGTTCTGGTTTTAGGGTCATCCTAGGATTTCCTTACGGTGTGGGGAAGCTGGAATTTCACGTGGGTTATTCCTCGCACCAGCAAGCCCAGCTCTCTGCAGCCGGGCGCAGCAGTTGAGTTCCCAGTGTTGTTGGTAAAGCTTTGGACCCGTGTTCCTGTTTGGGCTGAAGTTTCAGTACAGGACTTTGGGACTTCAGGGGCTAAGCTGATGGTATGCGTTATCACAGAACTGATTCGCTGCTCAAAACCGGGAACCTCAAGGTGGAGGCACAAAATCACTTCTTTCTTTCCTTTTGACTCTGTTGGGGCCTGGTACTCCGAATACAGGTGTCGGAGTTTGATGCTGGCGTGTAGATAACACAAATACCATGGGGTTTGGGTGCTTTCTTTACCCTCTGCACTGCAGTTAAAATAAAATCTCTGGCTGGGAATTTCTACAGTCTAACAAAATAATGATGTGAACCAGACAGAGAACTGAAAGTGTCGTCCACCCAGTAATTTTCATAAACGTTCTTCGCTAGTTGAGTAAGAAACATAGAAAAAGCCTTTAAAAAAAATAAAATAAAAAGAAATCAGACCTGGATAATACCTGCAGAATGTGCAGAACTGCATATGGATTTTAGAAAGGCTAATCCAATCGTTGTCCCCTCAAAGTCGTAGCCTCTGTAAGGAAGAAGAAGGGCAGAGTGAAATGCAGTGATGTGAGCAGGAAGCAGATCTGAGGTCAGGGCTGAAGGCTTTAAGCATCATTTCCAGCTCTGCTTTGCATCCCTGATCTAATACATATTTGAGGATGTGCTTAAGATCACAGCAAATCAGAAAACAATTGAATATGCTTTTCATTTTACATTTTTACTTCCATTACGTTGCTGTTCATCAGACTTAAAGCAGCTGTTTGAGTGTAAAGAGCTGGATGACGTGCTCGAAATGTAGCAAAGTGCTTGGATGAATCAGGGCCATTGAACGTGAGCCAGAACAGCGAAGTGAGTGCTGGTTTAGTTTGGCAACGTGCATTTCCCAGCCACTAAACTTAATCTCGTGGCTCCTTCGGCTGTCGACTGCGCTGCAGTCTTCAGGACACTCAACCGCTCTGCGACCAGAGCAGGGGAAAGCAGAGACCGAGATGTAGCAAAAGTCCACATTGCCTGTTTTTGCAGGGATTCCGATAGAAAAGTTAGATACTACGTCCTGGCAGGTAATCGTGCTCTGTGAAGAAAATGAAAGCAAGAAACAAGAGCGTGCATTTATCTTTTTTGTCCTTGAGTTAGTACAATCCGGTACTGGAAAGCACAAAACCTGGCTCAGTATGGACAGCGTCTCAGATGGGTTGGTGGCTAATTTTTAAAGAACCAACTCCTTTAATGTGCTCGTAAATGCAAATAGGAAGCAGAGCGATACACACGTGATTAGCTGAGCGTTGTCGTTTCTTTTCCTCTTTAATAAATCTGATAGACGCCACTTGGAGAAACTGTCCAGAGTGAATCCCGCAGCACGGCTCAGCAGGCATTTATCGCCGTCCGTCCAGACTTCGAGGCCAGTTAAAGCCACAAAGATATTTATGGCCTTATAAACCTGCAGCAGAGAAACAGTGGTGCTGTGAGACTGAGCTTCGTTACGAAGACTTCTGAAACGAACGCTTACCCTGGTAATTGCTTTGCGTTTGTCACTTGCAGTAAAGTCCACTCCAGACCTGATTTAAACTTTTCCGCACTTTGAAGTTGCAATGAAAAAGTTAAAAAGACAAAACGAAACATGAAGCCTTATTTCTCCCCCGCCCTGTTTAAACCAGCTCAAAAAATGGTTGCGGAAGACTTGAAAATCCCAGCAATATTTTGGAAGAGATTTGACTTGCAAAAGAAATCAAGAATTGAAAATCACTTCATTTTTTTTGAAGGATTTAAATCATTCACTTTGACAGCTGTTAGGAGCATACAGTTTACACCTTTCTTTAACAAGAATTGAATTCGTAGGAATCTCATATCTGAAGACAAAGAATAGGATAAGATGGACAGATTTGTTAAATTTGTTTCATAAATTACAGTGATGTTCAGTTTTCATTCTTTCCTACATGCAATGATGAAAATTAATGACGTTTGCAAAAGACAAAAATGGTAACTTCTGTTTCACTGTAACTTCACTGTATTTCCTCTTACCGTGTTGATATAATTGACCATCCCGAATATTCGCTCTCTTACAGTTTTGACATCTTCCTTGTACTTCTTGTACTAAAAAAGTAAATGGAGTATGTTAGGAGAAGGAGAGGGAAAAAGTGATTTATCAGAGAAGAAGGTGATATTGCAAACCACACCGTGCGTCGTCTACTTACTGTCTTCTCAACGTACTATTTTATCAGGCAATGTATTTCAAGATCGGGCCCTTTTCACATGTGTGTCTATGTGTAGGGTGCATGTGTATCTATGTGCAGGCAATGCCCCGTGTTTTCTGAATTCTCGTCATCTACAGGTGGGATTTTCAAAATCAATCGACATCAGGAAATCCTACTCCTAGCCAAAGTAAAATGCAGCATGGCACCATAACTGTAGCAGGAGCCCAGGGCTCTGAGCAGAACCTGCTTTGGAAAGCTCCCCTCTAGCTGGTCAGATGGGAAAAAAAAAATCATTTCAGTACTCACCAAAGAGTTGTCTGCAACTATGTAGATTTCCAGGTACTTTTTAGCTTTCAGGTATGCCTTCAGCTGAAGAAAAGACACATTTAAATGATTTCTAAGGCCTTTGCAGTTTCAACCCTTGCAATTTTGAACCCATGTAGTAGTTATGAGGGTATTTCTTTAGCCACGTCATTTAATTTAGAGTGTGAGTCTTATTTTAAAAGGATGAAAGGTAGGCTAGATATTAAAATGATTATTAAAATGATGAAAGGTAGGCTAGACAGGAAGAAGTGTTTAGATGTTTAAGGATGCACCTGGGCACCTGTTGGTACATGCAGGACAGCTTAACTCAGGCGATGACTCTGAAATCTCAGATCTGTGAGATTTTGCACTGGTTTCTAAGATCCGATTATGCTTCACTCCATGATCGCAACTTTTCTGGAGGTGCCACCAGACAAAGTGGGACTTAGGCTACTCCCAGAGTTTTCCTATGGCCTGAGTTCCTTTTCCGACATGCACTTACTGGACTGTTGTTTAAGTGTGTACTTACTTCTGGACTGTTGCTGGACTTGAAGAGGTCATTGATGGGGTCACTTAAATCCGATTCCCAGGTATTATTGATCACACCACAGGTTTTTATGGAGTTTTGTTCGAGTTTCTCATACTTATAGACCGCATGCTCGTCTCTATCTGAAGTTCCCAAGGGTTCAATAAGGTACTTCTGACCACGGGTCTCAAAATATCCACTAGGAAAATGAATTAGACTGTGATCTTCTGAATCCAAGTCAAGATAGCAGCATTATCTCTACCAGCATTTAGCCGAAGCATAGGGGCCATTGCACACACCGATGCAGCGGAATCGTTTGTCAGCATGTACAACAATTTAAAGGCAGAAATCAAAGCTGCCGAGTCAATTGGAAGTTCTGGCTGGTCAGGCGAGTAGGAGTAGGAGACTGTCAGCCAAAAGGAAACTGGGTTTGGAATTAGATTTAAATTTTGGTGTTTTGTGCTAACAGAGGTGATTGAAAAGAGAATTTCAGTTCAGTGGGGAATTCAAAGATAAATGTTTTCATCTTGAATTGAGAAAAAAAGCTGAAATATTGAAAGGAATTAAGAGTTTTGAATCATTTTGAGCAGCAAACGTCAAAATAAGCATTCTGTGTTAACATGTGAGCTCACAAGTTGTTCAAGAAGGTTGGGGGTTTGGCAAAACCTCACTAAGCACTGGGAAAATGTTCTGCTGCAGCTTCTCAGACTTATCAGCCACCTCTTGCCATTTTACGTCATGCCACTGTGTCTTAGTGATCACAAATGAGCAGATTCTTCTAACGGAGCTTTTCATGCAACAGCTTGAACTTTCTGACCCTGTAACTGCTGTAGCACTGAAAATAAAATGTAGCTTCCTCCTGAAGTGTCAGCAGAGCTTATCATCCCCTTCCCCTCCCCCTGCCACCCCACCCCCAAACCCTGGCCCTCAGCACCTCATCTGCCAAGCTTTTAAATCCCCCCAGGGACGGGGACTCGACCCCTTCCCTGAGCAGCCCCTTCCAGCACCTGATAACCCTTTCATTGAAACAATTTTTCCTAATGTCTAACCTAGCTTCCTACAGCTTTAGAAGCATCAACCCTAAACATTTACTGTAAGCACCACCAAATGCTGTGATTTACAACCTGATCTAATATGGAATTAGCCATATAAACTTATCGATATAGTTGTTCCTTTAGCTTCCAGTTTATAAACTCTAAAACTGAAGTAGAAAGGTAAATTTTCTTCTTCCCCCCCCCCCTTTTTTTTTTCCTTTGGTAAACTAGTTTCCTTGTAAGCATGAATAAAAGATAACACCACTTATTTAAATCCTGATTCTATTTAAATTGGAAAAATGTACCCTCAAAATGTGCGCTCTGCCAGTGGTACCCTTTGGGAACCAAGCCTCTGTCTTACCTTAAACCTTTGCAAGCGCGGATGCTTGCTATGGAATCGGCATCGTTCTGAATGTAACCTTCATAATAACAGTGATCCTGTTTAGAAAGAAAAAATATGTTGTCAAAATGGGCCACGTCTCACTGATGGCAATGGCTTGGCCTAGATCCAGGGATTTCAGGAGACGTAGCTGCATTTCTGGCTACAAGCTACAGCAAGCTACGCTGTCTGAGGAAATCTCCCATTAGAGGAGGCTCTTAAAAAAAGCCGGTGACCATCTCCGTGTTTGCTACGGTGCTGTTATCGTTGTCCTTCAACACAGAGTGACCCAGATTGTGACCGATCCAATCATGGTGTGCTCTGGCCAATTCACAACAGTACGTGAAAATCAGAATACGCATATTCACCGCTCAGAATTAAGCGTATACTGATGTGCTCTGCTGAATTAAGGTCCATTCTGAATTATTTTTATTGTGGCCAAATTTCAGGGAAACACCCTTTAATATTAACCCAACAATTAAATGCTTTAACTTCAATGAGATTAAAATGCATGTATTATATTAAAACGTATGATTAGGGGAAAAATTTTCATGACTTAATTGATTTAAGGATCTGAGGTCTTAATGAACACTTCTGTGTTCAAAGAGACTTCAAAGTCACAGAGGTATTGTGGAAAATTTTACCCATAGCATTTTCTGTAATAGATTTCTTGAGAAGCCTCTAACAGCGTTAAAACCTGCATGCACTGTGCCTTTTGTTTTCTCATGGATGTTTGTTTTCCCTTCACCGTTTATTTGTCTTCCTTCCATCACAACCTGCCCGTTTTCTTACTGTGTAAAAGATGCCAAAAATTGAAAATTACTAGAGAAAGAAGCGGAGAATTGTGCTCTCCATCTTTTGAGGATACAGGAGAAACCACTCCTGAGGTCAAATGAAGTATCCTCGGTGTAGGACTGCCTTATTCAGCGCTCTGCACAGGCAGGCCTGCCTGAGATTGCCTTTAACCAGGCGTGGGTGCTGTTTGCTCTCACAGGATCCATTCAGGGACTGAAAGTAATTGTTGCAATCAGAAATGGCATCTTTTTCCACAAAAACAACGACCCAGAATTCTTCACGCACATTTATTTCACTCATGATCCTCCTGTTCCACAAATTGCTCCATGACAAGGAATATTAGGCTTTGTATTCCAAATTACATGTGTTAAAACATATAGCGTGACATCGGTCCAAAAGCTTCAGGTGAGAGCTTTCCTGAAGATAAGACCCGGGGGTGCCTAGTTAATTAAAAAATAATTTCTACGGTGACTTCCTTTGTGTCTGAATCTGAGTAACTGATTTGTCATGGCTCAGAGAATCCACCTGGGGCAACCTGCAGCGCACTTGCTGTGAGCGTGGGTGGTAACGTGAGCCAGGGAGGAAATGTGTCTTTATCTGAATCTATGATTTCCCCGAGATCAGGGTGTAAAAGCAAGGCCGGGAGTTGCGCAGAATGAAAGTCAGGAGGTAGAAGGAAGTGGAATGGCCCTGGCTCCACTCCCTTTCCTGACAAAAGAGAGATATTCAGCTCGGATGATGTGTTCATCAGCCACTAAGGTGAAAAGGTGGACGTCTTGCTTAAAGACAAACTGTGTTGTGTCTCTGATTCCCAAGAGGTGTAAATCAACGTAGCTCTGCCAAAGCTAGGCGTCACATCTTCCCTGTCCCTTCAGAGGCATCCCAAGCTCCAGCGCTTAGAACCTTGATTTAAAATCTTTTCATTCTGTCTGATATGTGCTGTTATTTCACGGACCCGCGAGTCTCATACGGACCTCCCCAAGACTGCAAGTAAGAGGGAAGGAAACCCTTTTTTATTTACCTTGATCTGAGGACTTGTTGTTATTTGTCGACCATCTTGAGAATAAACTGTTTCAGTATAGTCTTTAGTTAATAAGTGCCTGCAAAAGAGTCAAGCGCAATCATTATTCAAAATAAATTGTAGTCATCTAGAAACGAGGCAATTACATAATACGCAAAGTATGTAGGGAATTCACACGATTACTCAGGTTATTATTAGTATCGAGAAACTAGGGAAGCAAAGCTGCCGGGTGGGGAATTCTTCCCGTTTGTAATCCTTACTCAAACAAAGGGACATTTCTAAAATAAGAAAGCAATTAAAGTCTAATTATTTCATTGGTATAAACTAATCTCTTAGTAGATCTGAAAGTAAATGTACAATTACATATACAGTATTGATCCTTTTTTGGCCTCCAGGTTGTGTAGACGTTTCCACCACTCCACAGGGCGTGTGAAATGGTTCCGTCCGTTCTCTTCCCGGTTCAGCCCCACTGATTATAAACAGCAAAGGCCCAGGTCACTGGGAAAGCTGCCTGCTCTGTTCTACATGTGCGGAGACCGCACTAATATACATTTATTTTGTATTTACCAATTCTTTTGCTCACAGCTTTTTTATAACTGTGCTAGCGCAAGTTCTCACCTTTGTAATCATTCTATCTGAACTTGATTTTTCTTTTCTGTCTACATAAAACTCTGGTTTTGGACACATAAGTGTTCCTGAACCTTCAATGGAGGGCATCATGACTATGGAATAAATTACTGTATTTCTTCCACCACTGGGTGCCTTTGGGTTTCTTACCAGCATACATGTCTGCGACTTGCTGTGGAAGGCCGGATCCTGCAAGGCTCTGTGCACTCAGGCTCCTATGCAGCAGAGCACTAAGCAGATGCTTAACTTTAAGCCAGGGTTGTAGTCTTACTAAAGCGAGCAGCAAAGCAAGTCTACATTCACTTCTGTTTGGGCAACTAGCCCAAACCACCACAAACCTATTTCTTTTTAAAGTACAGTATAATTTCCCTTCCCCCCCTCCAGATATTTAGATTAGGTTAGAACAGGGGCAAACAGTTAATGATAGTCTATATTAAACATGAACTGATTACAGTACTACTGTGTTTACACAGCCATTAGGAAAGTACCTACCAAAGCAGACTTGCTCGATCCCATGTTAAATATTATGGCGGAGCTAGCAAGCGGAAAAGCACAACTGAGCTTTATTTTGTGTTGCCCTGTCCAGTTTTGGCCTTTTCTTTGTATGCGTTGTCCCGTAACAGAGCCCGCTGCTTCTCTACACCCTCTGCGTGGCCCGTTTAAAAGCTGTTGATCTCTTCAGACAAGGGAGTGAGTTCTCCTTGCTTTCAAGTTCCATAAAGCATTTTGTCAGTGCCAGTATATTTTATACTACTCAAAGTCCAACAGCAGTGTTAAGGTAGGGAGTGCTGGAAGCTGAATTATCAAGGATTATTCAAGGACAGGTTGGATGGGGCAACCTGATCTAGTTAGCAGTGTCCCTGCTCACTGCAGGAGGGTTGGACTAGATGACCTCTGGGGGTCCCTTCCAACCCAAAATATTCTATGATTCCTTGATTGAATTTCTTATTACTATTTTCCATTTTTGAAAAGCATATGGAGCCAAGACAGCCCCATTGCATGGATATTTCTCTTGTTCTTCTCTGTGGTGTCTACCAGCGTACAACAAATAGAACCCATGGAATATCCATGGACACAGAAATCTTGGGAAATAATATGAAAGCTTTAAACATTCAGTGGCTTCAGCTCTTTAGGAAATAAATGGCAGAATAGAGCTAGTGGTATGGGCAAGTCATTCCATCGCGGTAGAGTCGTGTGCCTGTGTAGTTATTTCGCATTGCCAAAACAGTGGCGTGATGCCTTCTATCCCCTCCTCTTTCATGGGAGTTGAAAGATTGTGTTTACCAAAATACCTCTGCCTTACAGGAGCCTAAGTCCTGTGTCTTTGTATCCTGAATGCCCCACAGAG